ATATTGTTTCTAACTATTAAGTTTTAGGTGAAAAATGTATTGATGAATTTAAGGAAAACTTAGATTGGGAATATATATGCAAATATCAGAAATTATCCATGGACTTTTTGAGGATACATAAACATTAAGTGTAAGGGGTTAAAGAAAAGGTCCTTTATTTCTAACAAGTCAATTTAATTGGCGACCGGTTTCGAAGCTGTCACTTCATCATCAGCTTCGAAACCGGTCGCCAATTAAATTGACTTGTGAGAAATAGAGGACCTTTTCTTTAACCCCTTACACTTAATCCCTACTACTCACATATGGCTACCCTCACTCCAAATACATAAACATTATTTGGATAAGGAATACGTTGAACTGTATAAATATGTTGATGAGAGTTTCTTAACAGAACTTAAAAATTAGTTTTTATACACACTTCACACAAAAAAATTTACTACATTTGCTCTCTACTATTACTAAATATTTATTTAAATTGTATAAACAATTCAAGGTTATTTCGGTGCATTTTATAACCTGCACTTCTTACTTTTAGATTTGCGTCATCTGTCGCAAGGCTTTGCATCGAGATATGCATTTTATATTTAGTTATCTAGTTGCAGTGATGAATCGAAGATAGCAAAATATTCATAAAAAATTATGTGCTTATCATAGGGAAATATTAAGAATATTATCAGAAACTAACAAGGAAAATTATGATGAAGTAAAAAATAAGATTAGAAATAATGAAATTGTTATCCCAAAAACTCCGAAACAAGATATTTTTGAGCTATTTCAACTAAAAAAATAAAAAGGTGTAGTTCCCTACTATTGAACAATTTTATGAATACTTAAAAACGAAAATATGTGATTATAATACCGTGATTGTGTAAACTGAAGATTTTGTGAGAACATTTAAAAGCTTGTTTAATTATTTGTGTGCTTTTAGACAAAACCTTAAAACCCAGAAACAAGATTATTTTTGTCTTGAAGCAAAGTTTGGTTTTTACTTACAATTGTTTTTCATATATTTTTTTATAAGGGGACAATCTGGTAGTTTTAATGAAAAATGGAAAGATTTTGTGAAAGAACATTTCAACATTTCGGATACATTCACCAGAACTCTTCGATTTATTGGAAGATTTTGTAGCAATTTTCATAAACTTCAAAAACTATCTATATCTGTGAATTTTATAGTTATAAAGAACAATTGATAGTATTATTTTTGTCTAATAGGTATGAAGGTTTAAAGATTTTTAAAAATGATGGATTTAAAAGTGTTGTTAACAAATTATAGTTTTTTTAATGTGATTAAAGTAGAAGTATTGTTCTGTATATGTCAAATTCTTCTTTTTTCTTAATTGTGATTTAAACGGAAGTGTTGTTCTTTACATGTTAAATTCTTTTTTATTTTTATTAGATATGATTGATACAGAAGTGTTGTGTTGCATATGTCAAATTTCTCTTTTTGTAATTAAAAATGATTGGTACAGAAATGTTGTTCTGTACATGTCACTATACTTTTTATATTCGTGTAATAAATATTTCTTTTTAGTTTTATTATTTATTATATTATTTAAATCAATTTTCAAACCTTCACCCTACCTCCTCTTTTCTTCCTTTTTCTTGATGTTTTTAGAGGTTAAAGTTTTAGACATTTTCTTGATGTTTGAATCGGTTGTCACATGAACGCCACTTTTATATACTACTGAAATATGTATTCAGTGTTCCATTAACACAGGTAATCCTGATAAGAAATGTGGGAAACGTTACCTATGACAACCTTTACGAAACGTTGTAGCCAAAATATTAAAAAAATGAAACTGCAATGATTTATAGAACAAGACAACAAATATATTAATGGATAATGATGATAATGAGCCGCCACACCTGTATAATAAAAATGTTCTAAATAAAGCAAAACAAGATTTACTTGCTGCTAATTATGTGAATAGAGATTTTAGCTATTATTGCATTGAAATATTCTTCATTAAGAGGAATTATTCACAATGTAGGATACGATCCATTTTGTGTTAATTTTTGGACGAAAGCCAAATTCAGATTCATTAAAAATCTATGATATCCAGCCATGTTACGCTAGCAATAGAGCAACGGGACGAATTATAACAAAAATTATAAAACCAGATGGTTCTAACTCTAAACATATATTTTTGTATAATGGGGTTATTGCTGTTAATGATGAACAGTATTCCGCTTTCCTTATGATAACTGAGGCTCACCACACCATTTGTATTGAATATTGGTTAAAAGAAAGGAGTCAACATGTTCGCAACACAAAAGAAGTTATGTGATTCATCAATACCCTTATTAAAGTCTATTATTAGAGTTTTTACTGTTTTTTTTTAACCATCGAAAATTATGCAAATTCTTTGATATCTCAAAATGCTCCATGCTATGTAAGAATTGACATAGCATATTTTATAAATTCGCATGCACGTTTTAAAATTTTTAAAAATAAAAGCAGTAAAATCGTTGTATTTAGGTGTAATTGGTCAAATAGTTATGTCTACTAACAAAGAAGAGATGGAAAATATTCTTTATTGTTTTCTACTAGTAGCAAGGTCGAAAAAACAGAAACTCTAAATAACGGAAAGGAAACACTATGTGCGATTCATAAAAACAAATTAAGAAATATGCTTAAGCTCGATGAACTTAACGATCATTCCAATGAATTTATAGACGAGGATAAAGATATTGAAATCATATCTAATGATTCTGTTTCAATTTTGACACAAGTAAGTGACTGTTCAAATAAGTGGTCAAGATAGGCTTATGTCATTAGTGATAAAGTTACTCATGTCATAAAAACAGATAAAGGGGGTGATGTCAATGAAAACTATTGTTTAAAATTGGCAAACCACATACTAAATAACATAAAGTGGTTACCTCTTTATAGTTTAAATCTGGTAGTGTGCCAGCAACATCATCTGCTGTAGAAATTGAATTTGGTTTACTTAAAAATCATGTTTTGAAAATGTTTTCCAATCCAATAAGGGCTGATCTGTTTCTCCAGACCTTTCATAATTACATAATGGGGAAAATTAACCCTTCGCCGGTCGCGCAGCGGTACTGAGTGCCGCAATTTAAATTTAATGAATTTTTGTCTCAGTTAATTTGCCCCACGCTCCTGGCCGTTTAGGTATGTAACCATGTCTATTTTTAGAAGTGTCTGGCATACACGGCTTTTGTTTTTATGTTTCTGTTAATTCGTTTTGGGGCGTCAAAGTAACCAGTGCTGATCTGCGGTGCTCCGTGCCGCTACGCGACCGGTCATGTAAGTAAAATGTTTGATAATTTTTTTTTGTATTCTTTATAAAATAATAGGTATATTTTTGTATGTATTCGCATTTTTGTGAACATTTTTGTACAAAAAATATAAGCTTAATTTTTTTTAGGGACAGAAGAGCCTTCAGGAAACCGCTTACTGAGAAAGAGCTACAAAGCATCGCGGACAACTTGTCAGATTTTGACGACGATATTGTTGACTTTGAGAGTGAAAGAGAAGGAGAAGAGGAAGTCGTTGAAGTAGATTGCTACAACAGTGAGTCGGAGCAGTCCGCTGATGAGTTTTGCGAAGAAATCGATTCATTTGTTGGTCTAAATTAAAATTAGCGTAAATGAACAGAATGTACTGGATAATCTGAGAGATGGTGATGAAATAACAGATTTTATAAATGATGAAGAATATAGTGAAAAATACTATAATGTTGAAACTATTGTAAATAAAAATATTAATGAATATGAGGACTGCCATGGTTTAGTCTCTAAATTAATACAAGCAAGAAACAACAAATCTAGATATCTCTTTAAGAATCCAACTCTCTACCATGACATAAATAGAGAAAATAAAAAAGTGACAGGTATTGGAATTTTTAAAAATGGACACGATTCCAGTTTATTGTATACTTATTGTTTGTTAAGGCATATAATACAATTTAGTAATTTACTACACAATTTCATGTTTCGTTTTGTTTTAAATGCCATCTTCAATAAAATACAGTAATCTAATTTTAGAAATATTTATATTTCCTAATAACCAATATTTCAAAGTTATTTAAATGCAAAAGTTGTCTACAGTATGTTCGAAATGTACAAAACTGATTTTAAGAAAAAACAGGTGCATTATTGTTTTTTATTAGTTTTAATGTCAAACAAATGTATTTATTTTGGAATTACAACTTATTTGTGTAATTTCTGTGTTTTACGCTATCAAAAAACAGTGAAAATGGCGTTATTATGAAACAATAAAAATCTAATTTTAATTATTTTATCTTGTTTTTTTTTTTAGCTGAACTAAATTAAACATTATTTTTAGGTTGTGAAGTTAGTGGACTGTTTTTAGTCATCGTAAAATACATGTCCCTTTGATAGTGAATTCCAAATATTTCTAGCTGGGATGCATGACCATTTTTTTAACTCAAGGATCCAAATTTGCTGAGTTACTAAAATATGTAATAAGAAGAGGAATAAATGGATATGCTTATAAATTAAGAACTGAATTAACCCTTAACTACTGACACGGAGTCTAGTAGGCTTCCACGTACCTAATTTACCTTCTTAGGGCCACTTGCACCGTTCTTGACTTAAACGCTTGTTAATTAAACCATAGTTTATTTGTTAAACCAGGATTAAATGATTTTCACTTGCGCCGTCAGTGAAGTGACCTGGATTAATATTAGGCTGTAATTTTAGTGATTTTTTTAAATGTTGGTAATAATAGCTATCTTCAAGTGATTTATTATAACCTCTTTCCCGATTCCCGCTTTTTTTATGTTAGGATTGTTGGTTTTGTATTTTGCATAGTTTTGGACTTGGGAGTTATTTTGGTATTATTAATCGTTTGTAAATTTTTATAAAATGGAAGACAATAAATCTGTGAGAAATCGTTGCACAAATTTCAGTGGCAATGAAAAATCATTTTTATACAACTGTATTGCTAAATACAAAAATGTAATTGAAAATAAAAAACTGATGGAATTACAAACCAGGAAAAATCTAAAATGTGGGAAAAAGTCACAAAAGAATTTAATTGTATGTCTCCGGATAACAACAAAAGATCGACAGAAGTTTTAAGAAGATTTTATGAGAATAAAAAAAAAGATTTGAGAAAAAAAACTGCAAATAAGAAAATCCATATCAAAGGTACAGGGGGAGGCCCGCCAGACAATATTAAGGATGATCCAACAGATAATCTACTTTTGTCGATCATGAATGAGAAGACGGTTTATGGCCTGGAATGTTCATGGGGGGGAGATGTCGATAGCGAGTCTGAGAATGATGAACCTGATCTGCATAATAAAAATGTAGAAATTTAGGCAAGTCTAATTCATCACCATCTTTGGCAATGGTAAGTTTACTATTATATTATAAAGAATTAGTTTTAAAATTGTGTTATTTTTAGGATTCTAACAATGCAGAAATTATTAATGAAGAATTATCACAAAACAATGTAAGTATTTTTTATGGTGCCAGTTTGTTGAAAAATAAAAAAGTTATTATTCATTAAGATTACTTTACAAATAATTTTGTATTGCAGGTGATAATCAAAAATCCCACTTGGAAAGTGTATAAATCTTCAGATTTGTTAGAACCAATGTGCACTCCACTGAAAAGAAAGATTTCTTTTGTTTTATAGACAGTGCCGAAAGCAATAATCAACCAGTTAAATTTCAAGTTTTTCATTTTTTTTTTGTTATATATTTATTTATGATTAGTTCCTTGCAAGATCAAGGAAACGCCACAAAACAATGCACGAAGGCATCCTGCAGTCACTGTTAAAGCACTGACTTCTTCAGATATAATAAATTATTGGATGGACGCCTGGAAATTGTTGAATTTACGAAATCAAAATTGGAGCAGGATTTAAGTCAAAGTGTCAGTAAACACAATAAAGAAATGACACTTTTAGATATCCAAATCTCCGGATAACAACAAAAGATCGACAGAAGTTTTAAAAAGATTTTATGAGAATAAAAAAAAAGATTTGAGAAAAAAAACTGCAAATAAGAAAATCCATATCAAAGGTACAGGGGGAGGCCCGCCAGACAATATTAAGGATGATCCAACAGATAATCTACTTTTGTAGATCATGAATGAGAAGACGGTTTATGGCCTGGAATGTTCATGGGGGGGGGGAGTTGTCGATAGCGAGTCTGAGAATGATGAACCTGATCTGCATAATAAAAATGTAGAAATTTAGGCAAGTCTAATTCACCACCATCTTTGGCAATGGTAAGTTTACTATTATATTATAAAGAATTAGTTTTGAAATTGTGTTATTTTTAGGATTCTAACAATGCAGAAATTATTAATGAAGAATTATCACAAAACAATGTAAGTATTTTTTATGGTGCCAGTTTGTTGAAAAATAAAAAAGTTAATATTCATTAAGATTACTTTACAAATAATTTTGTATTGCAGGTGATAATCAAAATTCCCACTTGGAAAGTGTATAAATCTTCAGATTTGTTAGAACCAATGTGCACTCCACTGAAAATAAAGATTTCTTTTGTTTTATAGACAGTGCCGAAAGCAATAATCAACCAGTTAAATTTCAAGTTTTTCATTTTTTTTTGTTATATATTTATTTATGATTAGTTCCTTCCAAGATCAAGGAAACGCCACAAAACAATGCACGAAGGCATCCTGCAGTCACTGTTAAAGCACTGACTTCTTCAGATATAATAAATTATTGGATGGACGCCTGGAAATTGTTGAATTTACGAAATCAAAATTGGAGCAGGATTTAAGTCAAAGTGTCAGTAAACACAATAAAGAAATGACACTTTTAGATATCCAAATCTCCGGATAACAACAAAAGATCGACAGAAGTTTTAAAAAGATTTTATGAGAATAAAAAAAAAGATTTGAGAAAAAAACTGCAAATAAGAAAATCCATATCAAAGGTACAGGGGGAGGCCCGCCAGACAATATTAAGGATGATCCAACAGATAATCTACTTTTGTAGATCATGAATGAGAAGACGGTTTATGGCCTGGAATGTTCATGGGGGGGGGAGTTGTCGATAGCGAGTCTGAGAATGATGAACCTGATCTGCATAATAAAAATGTAGAAATTTAGGCAAGTCTAATTCACCACCATCTTTGGCAATGGTAAGTTTACTATTATATTATAAAGAATTAGTTTTGAAATTGTGTTATTTTTAGGATTCTAACAATGCAGAAATTATTAATGAAGAATTATCACAAAACAATGTAAGTATTTTTTATGGTGCCAGTTTGTTGAAAAATAAAAAAGTTAATATTCATTAAGATTACTTTACAAATAATTTTGTATTGCAGGTGATAATAAAAAATCCCACTTGGAAAGTGTATAAATCTTCAGATTTGTTAGAACCAGTGTCCACTCTACTGAAAATAAAGATTTCTTTTGTTTTAACAGACAGTGCCGAAAGCAATAATCAACCAGTTAAATTTCAAGTTTTTCATTTTTTTTGTTATATATTTATTTATGATTAGGTCCTTCCAAGATCAAGGAAACGCCACAAAAAAATGCACGAAGGCATCCTGCAGTCACTGTTAAAGCACTGACTTCTTCAGATACAATAAATTATTGGATGGACGCCTGGAAATTGTTGAATTTACGAAATCAAAATTGGAGCAGGATTTAAGTCAAAGTGTCAGTAAACACAATAAAGAAATGACACTTTTAGATATCCAAATTGAAATCGAGAAGGTAAAAGTAAAGAAACTGAAGAGCTCTTCTTCTGAGTGACATAATAAATATATGTATATTATAAATGTTTTTGTATCTCACTCAAATACCTATATAAATTTATAAAAAAACAAGAATGCTCTTATTTATAAAAAACTTTTAATTCCAAACTAACACAATTAGTTTTCTTACATGCTAATGTTTCCTGTTGTATTTAGGAGAAATATACTTATATATATATATATATATATATATATATATATATATATATATATATATATATATATATATTACAAAAAAAATTACAAATTAGCAAAATAACCGTTTATCATGTAATCTTGATAAGCGGACCTACAAAAAATATCCGTGTCCCATCACACAATCATTGTACGTTTACGGCACGTGGAATTGTTGCTGATCGCACTGATCTTAATGAATTCTTTCACAAATTATTTTCTAAAGAAGTGTATCAACAAATTGTAACTTGGACAAACAAAAAACTAAGTAAAATGCGACTTCACTATGACCGCTCAAATAAACCTGAGCTTTCGGAATTGAGTCCTACAGAATTTCGCGCTATTGTATTTTGCAATTTTCAAATAAAATAATAAGGACCTGAGGAGTATTTTTGCTAGCGATATAACGAGCAGATAAATATTTAGACTTGTTATGTCTCAAGAACGGTTTCTAACCTTACTAACTGCTCTATGTTTTGATAATTCCGAAATATGGTTACTTTTTAATACCGTTCCATACCGTACCGCGACAGAAAAATACCGCGACAAAATACCGTTTACTTGAATATGTTACACCGGTACCGGCATGGGGCGGGATTCATTCACAGCCCACCTCGCCAAATAACGGAACAGGACGTCGCGAGTCGCGACAGGCCACCAGACCAGGCCAGTAGATTGCGGTGCACAAGTACATGTAAATCACTTATTCACTTATTCAAAAATTAATGGTTATTGTGTTGATTTTCGTAGCGTCTGCGTCTAATATTGGTAAGTATTAGAACTGTTTTATATTATTTAGTAATATATATTTTTCAAAATACCTACGTTAAAAATTTTCTTGTTTTATTGGTTCTAGTAACAATAAAAATATTTTTCCTAATTTGGACATATAAAGTGACATTTTTTGTAATCGCAGCGAGTATCAAAATGATGCATAATGTTAAACATTGTGAAAGTGTATTCGAAATAGCTATATATGAAATCAGTTGAAATGCCTTATTTTGTGTAATGGCGAATATTTCCCACAAAATGAACGAGTTACACAAAACGGCATTTTGTAACGTATTACATACAATATTTTTTCTAATTATGACTAGATTACCAATTCATTAAATTAAAATTACTAAATAATATTTTAAGTTTCTTTGACCAAATATATTTTTATATAAGCAATAATATTCCTTTCTTCGATATAAACTTTCAAAGCAATGTATATTATTGATTTTAAAACAGGTTTATTTTTGTTTTCTTTCGCAACTAGTAACCTAATGTTCTTTATGTAACTATAGTTTTAATAATGTCATTTTGACTTATGCTGCTATTACAAAAAATGTGACTTTTTATATAAAAAAACACGTTATGAAATACCTTATTTTATGTAACGAGTAAATGTTTGGGGAACGAGCAGAGCGAGCTCCCGCAAAATGAACGAGTTTCATAAATAGCAATTGTATGGCAAGTCTTAGAGCTATCACATACTTTTGCCGTTTTTAAGTTGTAACGTGCACCCCCGTTTTGTTATAAAAATATACACTGCATAGACTAGGTTTTTCATGAATTCATAATTAATAGGTACACCGTACGTCTAGCCTATCTGTGTCTGTAACGTTTTGAAGGTGAAAACACTTAGGCCTCACTAGGCCCATTATGCATCCTCCTAATTTTATATAGGCACCTCTTAGATCGTGAGCCAGACTGCAGATTTACGTCTAGCCTAAATTTCGACTTTCTATTTTCAGATTAAAATGTCTCAAAAGAAAATAAAAACTTCCTTTATTTGGAATTTTTTCACGGAAAAGCCCAATACGGATTCTTTGGCAGTTTGCAACATTTGTAAGCAAACATTAAGCTATAAATCTAGTTCCAATAATTTAAAGAAGCATATAACTAGAAAGCACCCGACTATTAATATAAATTTAGCTTCAAAAAGTCATATAAATCGTTCTCGCTCCCGATCTCCAATAAATTCCAAATCTACAGTTCAGACTGAGCCTCAACCATCAACATCCCGTGAAGCTAACATTGCAGTAGCTAATGATGATGCTATCGATAAGGCAAATTTAGAAAACAAAAAACACTCATCCCAATTAACAGTTACCTCTTTTTTGAAAAAGAAAATGGGTCCTTCTTTTAGAAAAAAGATTGATGAATGTCTGATTATTATTATTATTTTATTATTCACACATGATTTCCAACCATTTTCGGTTGTTGAATATTACGGTTTTAAGAAATTCGTGTCAGCATTAAATCCGTCATACGAATTGCCTTCCAGAAAGACCATTTCAAATACGTAATTGCAAGCACATTATGAAGAAGCCTACAATGAGTGCACAAACTTATTAAATAAAGTTGAAGCCGTCACCCTAACAACGGATTGTTGGACCTCTAAAAATTGTGAAAGTTTTATGGCGGTTACAGCACATTTTATAAATAACGACTTTGAACTTCAGAGTGTATAAAGCTGCAACGTCCGCGAAAGGCTTCTAGTTTTTCATCTATTGTTATATATTCCCCCAAAGAATAAATTTCCTTACAATTACTAACAAATTTTTCAAAAATTACCCTGATTGCAGCCAATTTGTCAGTTTGCTTTCGATGTTCCCTGGTGTCACGATCATCAAACCGAATGCAACGTAACAAAAATAAAAATCTTTTATAGCTCATAAATTGCCTTGTGATTTCAAATCCACTTTCAGCGTCCCACATTTCTTCAACATTGCAATGATTGTTTCTTTTAGCGCCTATAAAATATAATAATCCAAGAAGTGCTGCAATCTCATTCTTTGTAGTAATTCTTGCATCACGAGCTCTTTGGTATTCTACTGTTCTTTTTTGTCATTTATGTAAAGATTAGTACACTTCACAACCTCCTCAATTATAAATGAGTCAAGAATCAATTCCAACGCAGAAATTTCGGATGTAAGTCCTCTAACGGCTTGTTTTGGTACAGGGTGAATTTTCAACAAATTCTTGTTTTTTTATTTTAGAGATGGTTGACACATTCGTCTTGTACCATTTTGTGGCTTTGTCATTAGCCAAAAAAAAAAAATTGGCATCTGGAGCTATTTCATTGTCCGAATCCGATTTCGAGTTCTCATTCTCCGTGCACTCTTTTTCAGAATTTGAAACGTCATCACTGTGAGTCACAATTTCCTCCTCTTCAGACATGTCTTCATATTCAATAGGTAGTTCATCATCTGATGATTCTTCTAGGACAATCACTCGTAATTCTTCTTCCGTTAAGTATTTTCTAGCACTACAATAATAAAAAATAAAATTGTAATATAATTTACAATTATTATTCATTACATTACAACAAGAAAATAACAAACATAACAACAAAATCAAAAAATAAATATAAATAAAACTACTTACATGACAAGGCGCGAGGTGCACTCAGTGCGCCAGTTAGAGCAGGTCTAAGAAAATAATATTTTAACATATACACGCTTGGGTTTTAAAAGTACACTACTGTCTCGATATAAGCACAATGAACCACTAGTGGAATACCTTAAGCGTTGACGGCGTCATACAAATATTTACATTTTGTTGGGAGAAAATGTCGCGCTGGCGCACTCCGTGCGCCAACGCGCCCGCTAGAGTGTTAAGGATTCTGATGATCACACGCAAACAAATAATACACAAATATATCAAAAGCACCAAGCATTTAGTGTTGCATATTATTTGAAATCACATTTTAAAAGTAAATATCAATTAAAAGTTAGACTTTATCCAGGTCGTGACTGTTTGGATTGGTTTGTAGATGAATTAAAACAAACTGCTACATATCTTAATGACATTCATAAAATCACATTTTAAAAATAAATATCAATTAAAAGTTAGACTTTATCCAGGTCGTGACTGTTTGGATTGGTTTGTAGATGAATTAAAACAAACTGCTACATATCTTAATGACATTCATAAAATCACATTTTAAAAATAAATATCAATTAAAAGTTAGACTTTATCCAGGTCGTGACTGTTTGGATTGGTTTGTAGATCAATTACAACAAACTGCTACATATCTTAATGACATTCATAATAATCCAGAACCAATTCTTTAACACTTTAACGATCATGTGCACCAAATTGGGGCACAGCAAAATTTTCTCCCAGACCGTGTGGTTATATGTGAATAGATTCCCATAGGTTATACTAGCATAACTATGGAATAGGCTATAGTAGTAACTAGGGTGATTAGGGTAAGTCAAAACAGATTAGGGATAAAATAATATACATAGGGTAGGATAGAATTTAGAGTAGGGTAGGATGGTGTATATAGTTAAGAGTAGCATAATTTAGGGTAGTGTAGTAATAGTAATAGAATAGATTAGACTAGTTTAGGATAGGATAGACTAGTACACGGGTGGTTTAGTTTAGTTTAGAGTAGCTTAGAATAATTTAGAATAAGGAAAAATAGGTAGTTTAGTCTAGTTTAGTTTAGAGTAGCTTAGAATAAGATAGGCTAGTAAATAGAATAAGTTAGAATAGTGTAAATTAGGGTATTTTAGACTAGAATAGATTTATGTAGAATGAAACCCGTAACAAATTTTACCCAAACCAAGGAGATAACAGGACAAGTTAGGGGGTTAGAAAAAGTTATAGCTAAAAATAAATTAAATACATGTAAAGCGCAAAACTATAGAATGAAAGCAATTAGTGATGCTAACACAAATCTAATTCAGGTAGGTAATTTGCAAAATATTAAATCAGACGATGTAAATCGAACGATAAGATCTGAAGCATTATCTGCTCTAGACAGAAATAGCAATGACTTTCTGGATATACTTTTGATGAAATATGATAACCCCAATTATATTAAATATGTTTCAGACCCCTTTTAAGTACTTACATATAGCAAAGAACAGATATATATTTTCAAAAAACTTTTATTGACAAATAAAAAGTTATACTTTGATGCAACAGGCAGTATAACACAAACACCATAAACTGAAATCAGGTCATGTTATAATTACACCGGGGTTGTCCAGTTAACTGAAAAAATAAAACTGCACGGGTTTTTCCAATTTTTGGAATTAATTTCATGTAGTCACGATGCCAATAGCATTGGATGTTTTTTGACGAATTTTAAAACATTTGCCATTAATAACTTTTTAAAATGGCCTATTTTTAAACTAGTTATAACAGATTTTAGTTTCGTCTTGCTAAACAGCTTTTCAATATTTTGGAATAACACCACGCTAATAAATTATTTAAGAGTTTTACACCAGCAAATTAAACAAAACAAAATAATTTCACATGACATAACGCCACTTAACATCTGCTGCGCACATTTTGTTAAAATGGTTTCCAACGACGTAAATAAACTGACCAACTTAGACCAAAAAAATAAAGCTTTAGTCAAAGAAATGGTTTTAGCATCAATGTGCCTAAACCAATATCAAGAAATAATCAACTGGTTTAGTAACTTAGTTATAGTTTTATCAAAAGTAAAACAGACAACTGATTAAAAAAAAAATTTAAAAAATTGCTAGATATTTGTTCAAAGGAAGATCAGGAGGAATGTGAGCTAATAAATAATGTAAACAATGGCTATGATGAAAAGTTTCAAATTATGAAAAATGTACAGTATCTTTATAGTCCATTCTATATCGAATTTAATGATATTTATAATAAAATTATTAATGAAGATGATTCAGATTTTAAAAATAAATATCAATTAAAAGTTAGACTTTATCCAGGTCGTGACTGTTTGGATTGGTTTGTAGATGAATTAAAACAAACTGCTACATATCTTAATGACATTCATAAAATCACATTTTAAAAATAAATATCAATTAAAAGTTAGACTTTATCCAGGTCGTGACTGTTTGGATTGGTTTGTAGATGAATTACAACAAACTGCTACATCTCTTAATGACATTCATAATAATCCAGAACCAATGAATCTAACTCTGGAAGAAGAAAATAATTTTCTTGTGTCTACTTCTTGTTAAATTTGTCATAAACCATTTCTTGATGCTGATACAAAAGTAAGAGACCTTTGTCATTATACAAAAATGTACCGTGGTAGTGTTCATACGGCATGAAATTTGAATTATAAAAATTCACATACTGTTCCAGTTTTATTTCATAACTTGTAAGGATATGATAGTCAGTTTATTATCAAAGTTCTTAGCACAAAAATTAAAGGATATATTAGTTTACTACCCTTAAATAAAGAAAAATATATTTCATTTACAAAGTATATTAGTGGGAATAAAATCAGTTTTAGCTTTTTAGATTCATTTAGGTTTAAGTCAAATAGTTAAATGAATTATCATCTTATTTAGATGGTAATGAAAATATTTCAGTAAAGACTATAAATTTAAATTAGTTACAAGAAAAGGAGTTTTTCCATGAGTATATTAATTCCTGACAAAAAACAGACAATTTAACAGACAAAGATTTTCCCATAAAAGAGGCTTTCTATAGCAAACTTACAAGTGAAGAAATATCTAATAAAGATAAAGCTTGTAATGTTTGGAATACATTTAATTTAAATAATCTTCAGAATTCTTTATTATTATCATCATCAACATCATCAGATCGAATAGATGATGATGATAATGATGATAATAAAGAATTTAAAATTGAAATTAAGAAGGCAAAATATATTAAAAAATCAGTTTTAAAGTATATAAGATTTGAGGATCATCATATTATTAATTCACAAATGGTAAACATGAAGTATACACTATTTCACAGAAAAAAATTGCATTGAGTCCCTATGATGACTAAAGAATTTTCTCCGCTATATATACGGATACAAAACCTTGAGGATTCAATGAAAATTAATAAGTTTAAAACAAGACATTTATTTACTAAATAAATAACAATTCGTTTTTTTGCATAATTAATTTATAATCTGATCCCACTGATCATTTTTAACAACTGAATATCTTAAAACTTTTCTGTAACGTTATTTTTCAACTTGTTAAAATTAAATAATATTCATGAGAGAGTTGCAAGAAATAGCTGATCAAATCTTATTTGATGATTTGCCGCTGGACAACAATGCTGTAACAGATGAGAAGGACGATGATGATGATAATATTGAGGATTCTTTTAAAAATCGAGTTTTTGGTCAAAATAATGCACCGAAACCTTCGACATCGACCTTAGATGAGACTCAGATAAAAACGGAACGTGATATCGTAGATGATACAGTGGATATTAAAAAAGAAACTTTACTAGAAGATGAACACACTATTATAGAAAAATGTAGTAAAACAGGTCAATAAGAAAATATTATTACAGCCTTCGTTGCATCGTCATCATCATCGAGCAACAGGCGATCGTACCGACATGTAATACAAAGTGCTACTACTTTAGAAGGTGATAAAAATAGTGGTACACAGGAGAAAAAATCCAATAAAAGAAAAACAAATACTAAAAGTAAATCGGCAGAAGCCAACAGAAAATGGAAGAAAGAAAATAAAAATGAATTTATGCCAGAATACAATTTGTTTAGTGGTTACATAGAAGAAGAGTTTAGCAAATGCTCTAATCCTACTGATGTGTATTTACTTTGTAACGGTTTTATTCGAACGTTATGCCTTATCGCCTATTTATGTCTCAAAACTAGCAGAGAATTAACTTATAATCTAGAAATTACCTTGAATATGCTCCTGTCGTAGAACTTCATTAGATTTTCGAGAAAACACAGCTTTATTCAAATGGGATTTAGCGTAACTGGTGTAAATGTTCCTTCTTAGGGCTCACATAATTTTTACAAGGTTACACTGAAATTCACTATGATTCTCAATAATACTGTTTACTTGTAGAAGTGTTGTTTACAATGTTTTTGTTATTTTGTAGGTTAAAACTGATTTCAGATGTCATTTAATATAATGAAGTATGCCTGTCGCATTTCGAGATGTCTATCTTTGTTCGATAAGTGATTCTTAGGTAATGCCTCTCTCTCTCTGCTTGACGGAGGACAAAGGACGTCATATGTCTGACTTCGATTCATACGCCAGTGATTCATGAACTAAGGAGTGCTCGTTTAAGCGGTGGTTGCTTTTCATGGGCATATTTTTGGGTTTTCTTATTGGTCGAGCAGTGTTAACAGAGCTGTCAGCCTGAATGCGAATGGTCGTATTCTAGTAGTTGAAGGAGGTCATTGGTCGCACAGTATAACCAACAATAATTTCTAGAGATCGGACAGTGGCGATTGGTTTAAATGGATTTTCTTTGAAGTGATTCTGCGCAGTCGAGGTTTTATGCTAGGGGGCGAAGAACGGCGTAATTTGTAACACGTGGCAGCTTCGTCTTTCTTTCCAACAAGAAATGTTAATGGAGGTGTTGAACTGAAAATTCGCTAAGAGACTTTTTACTTTTTTTATGTGATTTTGTATATCATCCCGCGTGGGGAGTCTAGTAAAAGTGTCTCTATTTTATGGGAAGCATTGATGGTACGTTTTGAAGTTGGTTAACGCGAAGTTAGACCGGTATTTTTTTATGTGATTGTGTGCCGGCTTTCCCATCTCATCTTGAGGAGCATTGAATATTGAA